GAAATCACGCTAAGTGAGTTCCTGAAGTAAACATAATTCTTATGGTAATTAGATTCTATTGTTGTTGTTTGTATAAATAAATAAATACTATGATCACTATGTTGGCTGGCCTTCCTCACCTGTGTTAGGGTGAACCAAGTGTGTAGTGGTTTCCCTGACCTCCTCCATCCCAAGAGAGTAGGAACCAAGGTTTTGATGGAGAAGCCAAGGAAGCTGCCAGCTGGTTACTACAATGAATTTACAAGTTCCATAGGCACAATTATCAATGCTTAACGGGAAGAAGAAAAACTAGACATGCAATTCTCTGCCTTTCAGCAGGAATCACTATATCACTTCTGTCTGGCAGTAGAGGTCTCATGAGCCAGCCCCTCTTAGTAATTCTGTGAGGCCCTCAGGAAGGACTGAGTGCTGGGCTGTGGAGGTGGTGAGGGTGGAACAACATCACTGGGGGAGAGGGGGAGAGAAGGTGGTAGGAGCTCGGCTAGGGGTGGAGGTGGGTTGTTCATGTGCTTCCCTGCCTAAGGAAGATGGGATATTGAGTGTCAGAATTAATTTCTCTTCACTGGGGGAGGCCAGCAGACCCAGGAGATTGATGAGCCACCCAAGTTGACTTGGGCAACAGTACCTTCCCAGGGGTCTGGACATCAGGCAGAACAAGACATGGGTCTTACTTCCTCCACAGGCTCAGCGAGGCCTGGGTTGGGATGCGGGAACTGGCTACCTGCTCTGTGATGCTGTAGTGGGAGGGCCACAAAGGGAAGGTGCTCCAGACAGTGCAAACCATAGAAGCATGTAGATGGTAATGTCCAGGGAATGAGCTATAGTCCTGAGAGGGCTGAAACAAACAACAGGAGGGGATGAGGCCAAAGAAGGCAGCAAGGGCAGGCTTGCTGTGGAGGCAAGGGTTTGGCCTTCTGGATCACCAGGTGATGGGGAGTCATGGCTGGGTTATGAACTAGAGAGAGTTGGTTAGGTGGGGTTAAACTAGGATCTGAAGATGTGTTTAAGGGATGACTATTCAGATGGAAAATGGAGACCAGCAAAGGGCAGAGTGGTGGTCTAAGAAGGGGCAGCTCTAGGTCAGTCACCAGGTATTCTGGGCAAAGTGAGAACAGAAAGGTCAGAATTACTAGTGAGCCAACCAACCACAGACCACAGAGAGGAAGGATACAGAGTAACTTTTAGACTCCCAGACTGAGGATTTCAAATTTAACATCCTTTTGGATATACACCAAGTTACCATTTTCATGTTTTACTGCCACTTTGTGTAATAAAATTGGAAAGTGTTGACCAAACAGCTGTTATATCTTACACCGCACCTTTAATAATGATTGCTCATTGATACTTGGATTTGCCTATATGTTACATTTATTTGATATTTCAGTAATCTTATTTCTATTTTACATTATAAGCCTTTGCTTTGTAGGGCTCTGATTTACATAAGTTTTATTTACCACAGTTTATTTAAATAATACCAATTTCCAAATAGTTCAAATTAAATTACTTGGATATATCAACCGTGAATAATTGGATAAAGTACAAACTTGCTGCTAGCTCCTCTTTCCATACATCACTACATAAATGACAGATGCACATCATGATCAGTGACCAATGTCATCACTTCCTTCAGAGTCTGTCAGGAATTGGTCTCTGCATCTGTAATTCAGTTCCCAGAAAAGCATGCAGTTGCATTGCTACCTTGTCTCCCATGGATAAACACAAGTGAAATTTTACAAAAATATATAAACAAAAAAAGGAAAGACGAAGTTACAGAAAAGAAACAAAAAGTGGTAACAGTGGAAGTAAAAATGAATGTGATTAGGATGACTGATCATGGAACTGTCGATGCTGCCCTCTTTGGGAGACTTAAGATATGCAGCGAGAGGAATATAGTGAAGGTAATTTACCAGCATAACTGAAGAAGGTGGTTGTGATAAATTGGCAGTCTGGGATTAGCATATATACTCTACATAAGATAGGTAACCAACAAGGACCTACTGTATAGCACAGGGAACCATACTCAATATTTTGTAATAATCTATAAGGGAAAAGAATCTGAAAAAATAATATATATATATAGATATAGATATAGATATCTACACACATATATATATAACTGAATCACTTTGCTGTACAACGGAAACTAACACAACATTGTAAATCAACTATACTTCAATAAAATATTTTTAAAAAAGAAATATTCCAGAGTAAGTAATATTGGAAAATAAATTTCATGTTAATAGAACTATCGGAGGTGCTTAACAACATTGAAAGTACAGAGCATAAAATATGGAAAGTTGACCCAAACTTAGAAGGAAAATGACAATTATCCAAGGCATAGAAAAATTATTTATTATCACCAGTTATAAAAGGAGCTGGAGAAGGAAGCAGTATTCAAAGTACTTTTCATGAGTTTTCTTTCCAAAGAATGTAAAACACTTTGATTGTTAACGTTTTAAATGTTTTAATACAGTGTATAATAACTAAATATTAGTTTTACTAATTTTTCATTCACCTATAAATATATAACCAACAAAAAGAGAGTTTTTAATATTTTGACAAAAGTTTTTAAAGGTCATGGAACCATCATAATTTTTCCCATTGAATTTTAAGATAGCTTTGCTTGGTTTTAGCTCACACCATCAATTTTACAATCCCAAGTGAGGACTGTCTGTGTGTTAAATGACATGAGAGAAACTACTCATCTATTCAATTCAATTAACTCAGAAACACAGTAATAAAATAAATAAGAACAAAAAACACCACTTCATTTATATTTATTATTTATCATAGTGCTCACAGTTTTGTTTTGTTTTTTCAGTCTCCAGATTGTTCGCTTCTTCTTCCTTAGAAGAGCAGACCCACTTCTCCTGATTTCTGTTTGTATTATATCAGAATACCGAGAAGGCTCAGGACATGCCATATTTTTTTTTCATTTAATACCCAGAATATTTCCCCCACTTCACCATAATAGCTTCACTTTCTCTGTGGCCTTTCGGAATTGACCTTCCTCCCAGTCAAATGATTTGCTACTCTGTTCTCCTTCTATTGGAATGATTTTCTATCTCTATTATAACATGTTGTTTAATAAAGTCAGATATTAAGTCATGTTCTGAGCGCCTTAGGCGCTTGTTCCTCTTCTCACTTATCTGCATTCCCCTAGTACATAGCACAGTGGTGATTCTAATAATGCCTAATGTCTAAAAATCCAGTATATTATGTTTTTCTTAATTAAAATATTTTAATTTGGGCTATTTTTACACTGCAAAAAACCCCACATCTTTTAAACTTTTGTGGAGCATAATTGAATTGTATTTTTATTGATATGTAACTTTCTGTTGCTGCTACTTTTATAGGTCCTTTTTCATATTGTTAATGACAGAAAAAGGAGAGGCCTCTACATGCATCTACATTCTTTGGGAAAATGTCAGGAAAGCCAGATTGAGGCTATTGACTAATTTAAGAGACACATGTATGAATAAGCGAATTAGTAAATTTATACCTGTGTAAAATCTACTGATTTCATAATTGCTTAAGATTTCACATATATAGTATGCTGGACAATAATTGGTATATGATTTAAATTTACTGTGTCATTTGAATACATCGTTTGCACATTTGTATACAAGAAATTCTAAATTATCACTGGAAGAGTTAACCACTCCTTGCTCATAAAATATCTTTCCCCAAAATACATTTGTATCTTCTATTAAATAGTCACAAGCAATTTATGACAAAATGAACATGTGCACTTAAGTATCAAATATGGTTATGAGTTTCTGAGAATATGCCAGATTGATAATATTTACAGGTAAAACAAAAGAAATATTTTTTAAACATTAAGGTAAGAAAAAATCAAATATCTTACTGATTAAGTGAAATTCTGCAGTGAATGAACACTCCCTAAAATGTGAAGGACATTTCAAAAGAAAGTATATAGGGCATTAAGCTTAAAGTTGAAAATGACAGTATTCAATTTTCTAAACTGACTCAAGTAAATTATATTAAGATTATGAATTACTTTATTGTTCCCTGAGATTATAAGTATATTGCAAATGTCACTCTTGATGCCAAGACCTGTATCCCATTTAGATATTTATTGAGAAGAGTATGGAGTGTGAGACAATATAATATGTCAAAATAGTTGAGATAATGATAGAATTTTACCAAAATATACTTACATCAGTTTTCTGTGACTTCTGTAACTAATTACCCCAAGATAGTGCTTAAATCAACAGAAATTTATTATCTTATAATTCCAGAAGCCAAAAGTACAAAAATAGTTTGACTGGATCAAAATTAAGGTGTTTTCTGCAGTGCTATGCTACTTCTGCAAGCTCTAGGGAGAATACATTTTTTGCCTTTTCCAACTGCTGGCATTCCTTGGCTTGTGGTCACATTACAACAATCTCTCCCTTCATGCATACATCACCTTATCTTCTTCTGTCTATAATCTCCCTCTGTGTTTCTCTTTTAAGGACATTGTGATTACATTTAGTGCCCAAGTAATGAAGAGAGACATCAAATAGCCTGGGGATTCATGGACTTTTGAATCACCCTTGAAGTTGTTCAATCATGAGCAACAACGCGTATTTTGTGAGGCAAATTGTGTGTTTCTGTGTGTGTGCAGGTGCATGTGTGCATGTGAGTGGCATGTGTGTTTTCATGAAGAAACAGGAGAGGACTTTCAGACATACCAGAGTTTAATCAAATTGCCTTTTTCATGTAACTCTTTTGATGAATTGTAGGACTAAACACTATGAACTTCTGTAAACATTTGATCTTATGATGTCACTATCATTATGTCTGGTCTTAGAGTGTTAAGGACAAGAAAAGTACGTATTGTTTTTTGAACTCTATTTTCATTTAATGGATTCTCTTTCTTTCACATTGTTTTTTTTTTTTTCTTCTCAATGTTCAGCTTTATCAGAGGATAGATGGCTTATAGAAAGAACATTTTAAAAAAATTTATTGAGGTATAGTTGATTTACAGTATTATATTAGTTTCAGATGTACAGCATAGTTATTCAAAAATTTTATAGATTACACTCCATTTAATGTTATTATAAAATATTGGCTATATTCCCTATGCTGGATAATAACTCCTTGTAGCTTATTTGCTTTATCATAGTAGTTTGTACCTCTTAATTCCCTACCCCGTCTTATCCCCCGCTCCCACCTCTGGTAATCACTAGTTTGCTCTCTATGTCTGTGAGTCTCTTTCTGTTTTGTTATATTTATATTAATTTGTTTTATTTTTTAGATTCCATGTATGAGTGATAACATACAGTATTTGTCTTTCTCTGTCTGGCTTATTTCACAAAGCATAATATATTTTTCCAAAGAAGACATACAGATGGCCAGGAGTCACATGAAAAAATGCTCAACATCACTAATCATCAGAAAAGCAAATCAAAACTACAATGATATATCATCTCACACTTGTCAGAATGGCTGTCATCAAAAAGACCACAAATAACAAATTTTAGTGAGGATGTAGAGAAAAGGGAATAGCTGTACACTGTTGGTGGGAACATAAATTGGGGCAGCCACTGTGGAAAACAGTATGGAGGTTCCTCAAAAAACTAAAAATATAGCTACCATATGATCCAGAAGTTTCACTCCTGGGAATATATCTAAAAAAGAACAAAAACAAAAGCACGAATTGGAAAAGATACCCACACCCCACTATTTATAGCAGCATTATTTACAATACCCAAGATATGAAAGTGTTCAACAGATGAATCGATAAAGATGTGGTATGGGGACTTCCCTGCGGTCCAGTGGTTAAGACTTCGCCTTCCAATGCAGGGGGTGTGGGTTCGATGCTTGGTCAGGGAGCTAAGATCCCACATGCCTCGCAGGCAAAAAACCAAAACATAAAAGAGGAGCAGTATTGTAACAAATTCAATAAAGACTTTAAAAATGATCCAAATCAAAAAAAAAAAAACAAACAAAAAAAGAACTTAAAAATAAAATGATGTGATATGTATATATACAATGAAATACTACTCAGCAATAAAATAGAAGGAAATTTTGCCATTTGCAACAGCATGGACAGATCTTTCACATTGTTGTTGTTGTTGTTTTTTCGGTACGCGGGCCTCTCACTGCTGTGGCCTCTCCCGTTGTGGAGCACAGGCTCCGCACGCGCAGGCTCAGCGGCCATGGCTCACGGGCCCAGCCGCTCCGCGGCATGTGGGATCTTCCCGGACCGGGGCACGAACCTGCGTCCGCTGCATGGGCAGGCGGACCCTCAACCACTGCGCCGCCAGGGAAGCCCTTTCACATTGTTTTAAAGTCATTTATTCACTGAAAAAATTTTCCTTGACGTGAATTTTTAATCAAATATTCAACCAATTTGATATTTTCAAACATCATCTTCTATCACATCTTGTAACATCATGATAATAAGAATTTGTATGATCTACATATTTAACAAATTCCCATGATCAATTCTGAGTAATATCTCTTATCAATATCTCATCCTTTACTTTTTATTTGTTTTAATTCATTATTATTTTATATATTTTTTTTGTTTTTATTATTTTAATGTCTTATTATGAATGAGTGTAAAGTAGGGAGTGTTTCATACTTTTTAAAACTTAAGCATCATTTCTCAGTTGTATTTCAAGGAATACTTCTCTATATGGTAATACTTTTCATGAGAAAACTATTACCAAATAATTGTTGTATAATCCATCCTGCCTTTAATATCCCAAAGCATGTTGCATGCTGTAGACTCTGGCAAATCTTGCAGCAATTTTAATAAAATCTATTTGCTGAACTTTTTAGAACATGATGACGAGTATTACCTTAAATATTTCTCTTCTTTTTCATATTCCTGTTCTCCTTTCTTCCCTTCTTCTCTTCCTATATAACATACAATCTCTTAGGACAATCTCTTATATTCTCCAGTTTGGGGAGTGCCCAATTAGAGAACAGCTTTCTCCTATTAATATGTTTTATATTCCATTTCTTAAAAGCTCTTCACTAAATGATTCTTCCTAACACTGGTATTTGTATGGTATCACTGTACCAGACAAAAGCACATGAGATAATCTTATTCTAAAAGCATGTGTTTTCCCAATTTTGTCATTGAGGCTATAAAGTAAATTGAAATTGTGAGTCATTTACTCTGGAACGTCTTTTATATGTCTAAATCATTATAATTATTAAGAAATAAATGATTTCCCAAACTGAAAAATTGTAAAATATTGTCACCAATAAAAAGCTAGAGATGATATGATTCACAGCTTTCATTTAACACTGGGAAAATAGACCCAGAGAATTTAATTATATTACCTAAAGTCATCCTAAGACTGGTAACCAAATTTTCTAGCTCTGAAATTGAGTGTGTTGTTCTTCCCCAGATGATGCTATTGAACTATTGATGTATTGTATGCTCACATTTTTGACAATGATGACAACTCGATCACTATTGTTTATATATAATTTAAAAATTACTCTTTGATTTTTTTTATTTTTAAAATCCATCCAGAGATTGGTAGATTGAATTATTCCAATTTTAGAAAATTACAAAGTGAACATAACATTGACCTTTCTATACCTAGAATATTCACCTACAAATTTCAACTTGGAACCACTAGCTTTAAGTTCCAAATTGCCAAGGTAAATTACATGTTCAAGTTAGAAGATACTTTAAGGGGGGCATATGAACTATATTACAGTTGAAGGTTATAGCAGAAATCTATTTGCCTGCACACACAAAGAAAAGAAACTTATAGTGGAAAATGTCCTTTCTTTAATTATTAAAATTTAAGAAGACATTTTTTCAAAAAATAGCTAGCCTAATATATGTATCTTATACCTAATCTGTGAAGTTGTACATAATAAGATGGAAAATATAATAAGATGGAAAATATCAATCTTCTATTCAACCATAAATATAAATAAATTTAATCCACTTGAAGTAACCTTATGATATTTTGGTTTCATATTTTGTATTAAAAATAGCAATTTTATGCTATTAAAAATAGGCACACTTATAAGATTCGTTTTTAAACTTACATTCTGTGTTATAGTTTTTCATAGTCTGTTTTAGAAGTCAAAATTTTTCTATTTTTAAATAATATGTATTTCAAGTCCATATCTATTGGTACACAAGTTGCAATAAAATAAATTTTAAAACATGAGGATAAATTGACTTTGAGAGAAGTAATAAAATAGTAATATATTTTTCTCTTATAAATCACTGGGAGTTTCACATTTACAGGAAAAAAAAAAATTCTAAAATGTCATAGACATGTATTTACCTCCAGGCACCCAATGTAACAAAATGAATGTATTTCCATTGTTCTGTGACAGGAGAAAAGTAGTCAACCAACCACAGTGAACATGTTTTGGAAGAATTTGATTTGTGGGCTCTTTCAGATTGATAATGAATATGAGGTTTTATTCAATTCCATCTCAAGTTTACTTGGAAAACAATACCAGAAACATCTATGTTGTGATTGGAATGCAAAATTATGTGTTGTCACTTAGATTTGTAATAGCCTAATAACTTGTTTTACGGATGCACAAAAGACTTAAATGTCATGTTCCTTTTTTTAAAAAAAAGATTTATAAGTTATTAAATTACTACACTGTGAATGGTTTACAATAGTAATTTGATTAAGCTGGAGAACAGATAAAACATGTTAATATGAGGTTGATGTTTGACATAATTTATTTTAGCCTGAATTATTTTCGTTCTACCTATCACCATAATACACATTTCTTATCTTCCCAAATGAGTCAAGAATCATGAGGTCACTTCTTATGAAAACACTGTATATAAATCATTTTAATTACTTGTGAATAAATTTATTACTAGGGAACACAAAGTATCATATTTGAAAATTTATAGAATGTGAACAGTTGAAATTGTCATTAAAGAAACCTCTTTGGGCTTCCCTGGTAGTGCAGTGGTTGAGAGTCCGCCTGCCGATGCAGGGGACACGGGTTCGTGCCCCGGTCCGGGAAGATCCCACATGCCGCAGAGCGGCTGGGCCCGTGAGCCATGGCCGCTGAGCCTGCGCCTCCGGAGCCTGTGCTCCGCAACGGGAGAGGCCACAACAGTGAGAGGCCCGCGTACCGCAACCAAAAAAAGAAACCTCTTTACATATATCACACACAAATTTACATTAGAGCAACCTGTTATAATCTTTCTAATGTATATAAGACAATGTTTTATGTTGTGTGATTATCTTATTATATTTGATATTTTATGTTCAATATGAACTCTAAAAAAAGAATACTATCCTATTTCAGTTTTCAAGCTATGAATAATTTTACAATTATTATTGATTAACAGCTATATTGTGTGAGAGTATATGAGAGAGGGAGGAGTGGAGAGAAAAGAGCCAGTGTAAGATTTTATTAGTATTCAATAGCACTCTGAATGTTCTTATTTCATTTTATGCGAAGTCTGAAAAGTCGGAAACATTTCATGAGTTGAGGTTATTTAATTAAATATAATCTTTATAAGCTAGCAAGAAACTATTCCAACTATCACTCTGCCCTTTTTCTTCATTTTGGTTACTGACAAGGGTCCAAAGAAGAGGAGCTATGTGGTGGGCAAGGGTGAATTACATACTAAGACACATGCCCCTAAGAATTAAATCATTATTAATAGTTCTACAAATCAAAATAATTCTGAAACTGGTACAATCAAACATTATCAGTTGTTATGGAATACCTCATTTCAAACCTTCAGAGAAATTGGCAATAGGGTATAGGAATGGGTTCCTATGAGAAGGAGATTTCTTATGCAATATCACTGTGAATAATTCTCACCCAAAAAAGCAAATGTAACAGTAATGCTGAGTAGTGTTTGCTTTTAAGTGTTGATTTGACATAAGAAATAGAATTTATTAAATTACTAGCCGAAAAAATAGAATTAAAGAAAAATGCAAATAACACCTGTCAAAAGGTACAAAACAAGCAAACAAAATTAAGTATTCATTTGCAGGAGCACAAAAGTAAACTTTAGCATGAGTGTTTCCAAATTTTAAATGTAAACTAGACATAAAATATAAATAATCTCCCACATATAATTAACAGTATGTATGAATTTTGTACTCTAAAACAATAAAAACAATTATTTTCAAGCAGACAGAAAATGTATCCAAAAGTTACCAAACATTAAGCTGTTATGGAAATATCTGTAAGTTTTAAAAAATAAAATATTTAATGCCACATTCTGATAAAAGAAGGCATTAAAAGCAGAAATGAAAAACAAAATTTTGCATAAAATAGACCCAATTACTTGGAAACTGTGAATAGATATATTTCTTAATTATTTTAGTATAAGATGAAATCAGAACTTATTTGCTATCAATTTTGAGACAGACATTAAGATGAAGAATATACAATGGAGCTGTGAGGCTTAAAACTAGGTTATGAAAAGGAAGATGACATTTTAGTTAACAGTTTTGCTGCTGACCATTTTGGAGGTACTGGTACTGGACTAACTGTAACACAGTAAAAAACTATAAAAATGGAACAAATATTTGAGTCAACTCTTTTCAAGTGTAGGAAAACACCTATCCATGATACTTGATAGAAAAGAGACAAGTAAGGGATGTGTTACCTTCAGTCTGGCCTTCAATATTTATGCACTTTCAGACTGCGGCTGAAGAATGTGAAACAGGCAGAGAGAATTTGTCTTTCTGAGCTGAGGATACAAACACTGGAGCTCAGTTTTCAGAAACAGCTGGAATTTGCAGAGAATATTATTGGAAGATAGTAAGCTATCCCAAAGTTTGAACCCAGAAGTCTTTCATGGGGCTTTTCTGTATGTCTTTGGCCAAGAGTTAGTCTGGGCATGTGAAGAATGAGAATTTTAAAGTGCTGAAGGGTGTAGCCACTGTGCAGTTTAAGGCAAAATGGAGGTAGTAGTTATGCACTCCTTGGACATGTTAGAGTTCTGTCTACCTTGAGTGGAAGCACATTACTGAGTACCTCAGGCACTCTTTTGTCACTCCAGAAATTCTGTGTTTTCATAGTTAGAGTCATGCTCTAAAGTCAGAAAATATCCTAATACTAAGGGAAAATTCAGAACAGACCCAATCTAATCACTAGGGTCAAGTGAGAAGATACTATCTGCTCTCATCATGCTGGGCACACTAATCATCGTCTATTCAGTTCAACACAGATTAAACCGTCTCCATAGAAACAAGCAGGAAGATATTTTGGAAGGAAGACATAATGTAATCAACACAGTAAATTGTGGATACTATACCATGACCTGTATTTCAGCTGAGGGCACATTTCTTGGTCTTCTTTTCCAAAAACTTCTAATCAGAAAATTTTTTAAAATTATTTAAGAACTTATGATGTTTGGCCTTATTTAAGCCTTGAAACAGTTCGGTTCATAGATTTGAATCTAACAGTAGGCTGCAAAACTTAATATAATTGAAACAGTTGAATACATTTTGATTTCTGCCTTTTTTCTAATATTACAATAAGTTATTCAGGTTTGTTTATTTAATCAGTCATGCATTATTCTGAATTATGGATGAGTTCTAAAGCATTAAATTAAAATAAGAAACCTAACCTTGTAAGCAGAACTTGGAAATTACTACAATCAAGGTATTTTGGAGTGAGGAATATTAAAAACCTGGAGATATAATCAGGGATTACACATAAGCTATTGGATACTGGAAATTGAAGTCGTTAAAATTCTGCTGCCAGTCAGAGACTAAAATTTGGATTCACTACTCTCCATCATTAAATGTTCCTGTAGAAAAGATATCATACATGAAACCTCCACAGTATAAAAATGATTATAAAAACACTGAACCAGAAAATTAAAATGATTTGTTTATTTAAATTGATAATGTAAAAAATAAGTCCAGAATTTTGATAAGTGTAGTATTTTGAAACTAATTTAAAAGTATTCCTAGTTTGTTTAAGTTATGATTTTACTTACATATTTCAAAATGTACAATTCAAATTAATGATTAAATCTTTATCTTTAAGAGAGTAAAGTCTAATCTAAATGATAAAACAAGAAAAATGTAAATATTTTTACAGAAAAAGGATGAAGTTATATTTTGTTTGTCGAATAGATTCCATTATTTGTATAATCATGAGGTTGCAAGAGAAAAAGTAAATGATATATCTGCAACACACACACACACACACACACACACACACACACACACACAATTTCCTTCTTCTCACTATCCCCTTTATCTCCTAAGAGGTTATATATTGTTTATGTATCTTGCTTTGATTAATGGACTCTTTAGTAATTGGCTGGCTTTTTTCATCATAGAATTATTTATTTTATTTATTTATTTTTTAAGGGCATCCTGTGAATAAATTTTTTTAACATCTTTATCGGAGTATAATTGCTTTACAATGTTGTGTTAGTTTTTGCTGTATAAGAAAGTGAGTCAGCTATACGTATGCATATATCCCCATATCCCCTCCCTTTGCGTCTCCCTCCCACCCTCCCTATCCCACCCCTCTAGGTGGTCACAAAGCACCGAGCTGATCTCCCTGTGCTATGCAGCTGCTTCCCACTAGCTATCTATTTTACATTTGGTAGTGTATATATGTCCATGCCACTCTCTCACTTCGTCCCAGCTTACCCTTCCCCCTCCCTGTGTCCTCGAGTCCATTCTCTACGTCTGAGTCTTTATTCCTGTCCTGCCCCTGGGTTCTTCAGAACCTTTTTTTTTAGATTCCATATGTATGTGTTAGCATATGGTATTTGTTTTCTCTTTCTGACTTACTTCACTCTGTATGACACACTCTAGGTCCATCCACCTCACGACAAATAACTCAATTTCATTTCCTTTTATGGCTGAGTAATATTCCATTGTATATATGTGCCACATCTTCTTTATCCATTCATCTGTCGATGGACACTTAGGTTGCTCCATGTCCTGGCTATTGTAAATATTGCTGCAATGAACATTGTGGTACATGACTCTTTTTTTTTGCGGTACGCGGGCCTCTCACTGTTGTGGCCTCTCCCGTTGCGGAGCACAGGCTCCAGACACGCAGGCTCTTCGGCCATGGCTCACGGGCCTAGCTGCTCCGCGGCATGTGGGATCTTCCCGGACCGGAGCACGAACCCGTGTCCCCTGCATCAGCAGGCAGACTCTCAACCACTGTGCCACCAGGGAAGCCCACATGACTCTTTTTGAATTATGGTTTTCTCAGGGCATGTGCCCAGTAGTGGGATTGCTGGGTCATATGGTAGTTCTATTTTTAGTTTTTTAAGGAACCTCCATACTGTTCTCCATAGTGGTTGTATCAATTTACATTCCTACCTACAGTGCAGGAGGGTTGCCTTTTCTCCACACCCTCTCCAGCATTTATGTTTGTAGATTTTTTTGATGATGGCCATTCTGACTGGTGTGAGGTGATACCTCATTGTAGTTTGGTTTGCATTTCTCTAATGATTAGTGATGTTGAGCATCCTTTCATGTGTTTGTTGGCAATCTTTATATCTTCTTTGGAGAAATGTCTATTTAGGTCTTCTGCCCATTTTTGGATTGGGTTATTTGTTTTTTTGATATTGAGCTGCATGAGCTGCTTGTAAATTTTGGAGATTAATCCTTTGTCAGTTGTTTTGTTTGCAAATATTTTCTCCCATTCTGAGGGTTGTCTTTTTTGTCTTGTTTATGGTTTCCTTTTCTGTGCAAAAGCTTTTGAGTTTCATTAGGTCCCATTTGTTTATTTTTGTTTTTATTTCCATTTCTCTAGGAGGTGGGTCAAAAAGGATCTTGCTGTGATTTATGTCATAGAGTGTTCTGCCTATGTTTTCCTCTAGAAGTTTTATAGTGTCTGGCCTTACATTTAGGTCTTTAATCCATTCGTAGAGTTACTTTTTATTTACCACACTTTTTATCTACCTCACTCATAATGGTCTTCATTGACTTAAATCCCTGAAATTACCCAGGCTTCCCGTGTTGCTTCATGATGGTGAAACTGATACAACTGGTCTCAGGCAGTAAATCAGACATGTACTTGATGGCTACTTAACGATCACCTAGGAAGATTCCAGTGTTTATTAAATGTCTAGTAATAAAAAGTATCTGTGGTTGTATTCCAGTAAATATTTATGGAAACTGAAATTTGAATTTCGTATAATTTTCACTTTGCACAAAAAATCAATCTTCTTTTGACTTTTATATCCATTTCAAAAATGTAAAAAAACATTTTTTAGCTCAGAGATTGTTCAGACAGGCAGCAGGCTGGATATGGCAGCTATGTTTTGGCAATCCCTTGTACAAACAGGCTCCAGTCTTACATTTGGAGCATCAGGAAATGATTTTGAATTTAAAAAATACTAAACTAAGACAGGTGCGAGGGAATTACACTTTCTAGCTCAGAATAGGGACTTAAAAATTAACTATTAACTCTAAGAGGTAGGGGAAACAGAAAATAGTTGTTTTAGAATCAGGGATCAGCTATTTAAAATCTACAACAAAAGTGGCTATGAAGTTTTAGAGAGACCAAAATACATTTAGTGAAACTGACTTGAAGACAACCGAAATGTGGAACCTTAAAAGTTTGTGATATTGGAAGACTCACTTTACAGCTTTCAGCTGAGGTCTCTTCCTTTGCAAAGATGTGTAATAATATTCATTTTCCAGCTTTGTTGATATAGCTGAGTGAGATAATTGATACAGAACTGCTACATAGGTGGAAATTCACATACCTTAATTGTTATTCTTTATATATTAGCTTTTTTAGTACTTTGCCTACTACAATATTTTATTTTGACTTTATAAAATTGAATTAAGTGTTTGCGTTGATAATCAATGTTCTCAAATCAATATGGTTAAAATCTAAATGGACCGTTTTATTAAATTGACCAGTTTAATTTCACTGTAAAGGTTATCTTATCATGTTTACAAATTGGTGACAGAGATAATATTGTAATGGCTTAGGTAAGCTGAAATAAAACATTGTGTTATTTTGTTTTGTTCTGTTTTAATTTTGGTCAGTAAGGACAGACAGAGATAAAATATTGTGCTTTTATTGCACTAACCTTTAAAAAATTATAAATTAATTTTATTTTTTTATTAACTTGCTCAGAAAATATTAACCAGGGGTGCAATCACATGTGGCAGTTATCTTTATAACTTTAAGAGATAGAAAGATAGGAACTACTTTCTCCTTAAGAACAAATCCAAAGTATAATTAACCATCTCAGCAAGAAAGGCACAGTTCTTCACTGCTCTTCAAATAATACTGAAAGGATTATTTATTCCCCCTTCAAATAGATGGCCAACTGAACTCACATCACCTCCTCCCCTTTCCTGCTGTGTGTATTTAGTCCTGAGCACACAGCCCACTGAGCCATCAGCTATTATTATGGTGCTATTTTCCTCATTTTTTTTTTTTTTTTTTTTTTTGCGGTACGCGGGCCTCTCACTGTTGTGGCCTCTCCCGTCGCGGAGCACAGGCTCCGGACGCGCAGGCTCAGCGGCCATGGCTCACGGGCCCAGCCGCTCCGCGGCATGTGGGATCTCTTCGGACCGGGGCACGAACCCATGTCACCTGCATCGGCAGGCGGCCTCTCAACCACTGCGCCACCAGGGAAGCCCTATTTTCCTCTTTAATGTTACTTTTGACCTCTACATTGGTAATACGATTCAGGGTGCTTTGATTAAGGTCAATTTATCATATAGACCGTGAACTTATGTGAAAAATCTGTCCCATCAGTATGAGGATATAGGTAAGAAGTGCTTTAACAAAAGTTTCACTTTCTAAATGAGATTTACTTCATTAGATTCGAGGCAGTGTAGCTAATGGATGAAGTTAGGAGATATTGCCCTATGCATTGTGATTGACATCAAAATTGTCTAACATTCCCTCTTGGCACTATTCTATTGATGTATGTGTGGTCTTTGGAATGTCATGGAAGGTAGCTCCCGGTTACTCATTTGTGAAATGGCAGCACAAAGATCCATAGACCTCAAAGAAATTCAACATTAATAATTATCAAATTTTTGTAAAATGTTAAGTAACACAATTTAGCCCTGAGATTAGTGTTCCATAACTTCCAGCAATATACAAATTATCCCTGTGATAGTAAATCATTACTAAAAATAAGTGGTGGAGTTGAGTCAGAGAACTAGATTTTAAGTTTTGGCAGACTTATTTTCCCTTATGAAGGAAGAATAAGAATTATTAAATAAAAATCATTGGGAAGCAAATCAAAGTTTATAAAATTTTGAAACTTAAGCAACATAATCAGCAACTCAACAAATATTGATTGCATGCTAATTACAAAGTTCTCTGCTAGCTCAGAAAAAAGAATATTTTTCATACTAAAGTAAGTGATCTATAATTATCAAATTATTTTTAGTATCACAAATAGTCGAAGTTAGCATTCATATGATTGTGTTAAAGCCATATGAAATAAATACTGTGATGTTTGTTTTAGTTCACATCTGTTGTTAATGTTGATGAAGCTTTTAAAAAAGTAACATTTTTAATATTATCCTTTTCAATGGTAGAAAATATCCTCAGCAGTAAAGGAGAATATATTTTTTTACATACCTTTAAAATATTGGGAAATTTGGAATATAATGCAAGGGAAAATTCACACAGCAAGAAATCTGTTGAAATCTATTGGAAGAAATAATTAGAATGAAGGGGTAGAAAAAAAGAAAAGGGAGGTAAATTCATTGACTGAGTATATGCCAAGCACTGACATGTATTACCTCACTTAATACATACCACTACTGAATATAATTTAACAACAAGAAATTGATCTAATAGCATTAATTATGGAACCTAAGATCACTCAGCAGACAATTTTAAGAAAATAGATGTCAATATAAAACTAGATAACTCAAAGCCAATATATATAAATGTTAATATACCACAGTACCTTCTCTAAGAAGTGGAAATTCTTTATCTTCCTATCTTCCTATACTTTCTATGTGGTGAATGATTTTACTACTATTTGCTAAATTTTTTTTAAAATGTAGTTTCCATAACCTAAAAGAACTTTGATGAAAGTCTTGGAATGTATTGAGTTTTGTTTTAACTCTCAAGTGAGTATAAAAAATCCTAATAGAGAAGAATTAACAAAGGAGTTAGTGGAGAAATTCTGAGTGGGAAAAATGTGTTGAAATAAGATCAACAATTCATTTGAGGAAATTAAATATATAGGAGAATGTGAAATTCCCACATCCAAGATGACATAAAGAAAATGGAGGTGACCACTTATGAAATGTTAGACAAAAAGAATGGTTAGTTTTGGAGACATGGGCCAAGAAGAGAGGTTCAGATGAGTTGCTGTAGTAAACTAATACATGTAAGTACTTTCACTGAATTGTAGACAGTGGATAATCACTGGATAGCAAGTAAGACATTGCTGCCCTAAAAAACTGATAAACAGAAACCTCAATTAAGTAGAGTTGGGGGACAAGAAGGAGGAACTCTCACACCCTGAGACATAGCTGAACCCACAGAAAGACAAAAAGACTCCTCTCCTGGCAAGGACTGAGCCAATGAAAAGCCATGGACTCTTTGTTAACTAGAGCCCTATAAAAGTATTCTCCTTCCCTTGCCTTACAGGGACTTGCACGTGGCTTGCCATGGTTGCAGACCCCAAACTGCAATTCCCTGC